GTTTTCGCGGTGTTGCCGCGATCGCGAGACACTTACGGTACTTGTGTCTCTCTCACTCTTCGCGTCTTAGCCAATTATGTGCGACCGTCGACGTGGTCCTCGCCTACGGTCGTCTGTCTCCATCACACGTATGACAAACCTCTCGAGAAGGACCTACCTACAATCTCAAGGAGTGGGGACTGCGTTCGGCACGTGGCCGTCAATCATCCATTGTCTGGAAATGGCGGAGAATGTTGACGAGACGCAGAACGTTTTCACACGTCAAAAGTTAAAATACATGAATAAGAAAAAGTTTATTTCTTTTGAAAGAATGTATTGTATCCAAATATTGAGCAACATATTAAAAGGGGATTAAATTAATACGTAGGTTATTAAACGCTACACGTGGAAATTGCAGGGTTTACCGAGGGTTTGTTGGTTCCTGAAGGAAGTTGGTTTACCGAGCGTCTGAGCGAGAAGCTCTCGTGCCGAAGTGCTGGAGGTTGGAAAGAGACACACAGTGGCAATGAGACCGTCACAACGTCGCCCGAAATACGTAAGCTCACGTTGGATCCCCTCCAGGCCACGCGCCGAGGCAGGCCAACCTCCCAGGCATCATCTTTCGAAAAACAGACCATAACTTCTACAGTGTTGTCGAGTCTAAAGTCGCAATGTTGTCAGATCATGAGTGTTCGGTACATCGGAAAATCATCGAAGGGACCATGGTCGTGAACTGATTCTCTTCCATCTCTTCACTGTAAAGTAAACGTATTATGTAGAAAGGAAGGAGTCTTGGGTTCCAGTCCCGACGGCCTATTGGTTTCTTTCGCGTATAAAAAGTTATTGCGTTTAATATTGTTTTTATGAATATGTATATGTATTATTATGTACATTTGAGTAAATTATTTTATTATTCCATTGTTATTACAACAGTTTAACAGTGACAACGAACGCATGTATATTTTCAAATATCGGACTAACAGTATATTTTTATTCTATATTATTACATATGAGTGAGTAATACGTATCAAAAACGTAATCGACACACAGATTTTTATTACACCATAAACATCGCATAAAAGATATTTCGTTATATTGACATTTGTAATAACTATGGATGTTGCGGGGAAATCAATATTATTGACATTATGGAACATGTAACGAAATATCACTCTAATACTTAAAAAGTTTTAAAGTTCCATTTATGTAGGGTGTGAGATGCGTGAGTTTAGTTTTAGATCGAGCGAGTGCGGTGCGAGTGAAGAGTGTTTAGGCCGTGTGACAGTTTCTTCGAACGAGAGTGCGTGCTAGATAAGATTGAATGAAAGGAACTGCGTCGAACGTCGTGATCGAAAATCGATACGAGGCGAGAATGTGTGAATGCGTGTGTGAACCTATGACCGAGTGTGACCATGTATGAAAGGGGATATATAAGAGGGAGGTTAGTCAGAGCGAGTATGTCTTAAGAGCTGGACTGTTGCCAGCGTGTCCTAACGAATTCTTTATATTACACATTTTAGAATAAACCTTTTATTTCTACCAAATACAACCACCACTTAATATTATTCCTACATTTATATCATTGTCCTGTGAAAATGTTCATACTTCCAGCAGCATTCATATTACAATCAAAGAATTTACAGAATAAGGAAAAGGAATCTAAAGTAATTTTCAGTAGTTCCATACATCTTTATCTCGAATAATTTTCTAAAACATTCAAAGTACTAGACATTTTTACACTTCGAATCTCATATTGATTTCTAAAATAATCCTAGTTCGACGTAATATAGAACGTGGTTTTATGAGATAGATTCGAAGTTCGCAGCCATTAGCCCGATATTGTCTTCAGTTTACAGTACTTTACCGATGATAATACCGATTGCCCAGGCCTCACCACGAGGAGGTTGCTGCGAGTGGAGGCCCAAGGCAGGTAGATGGAATCACAAGTTCTACATCTACCCACCTTTCACAATGAACCTTATAAATAACTTAAATCTTAACTATATAATACTATCGGTACTAAAATCTCTCGGCGGATGACTTCTTTCTTGAGCCTAAACCTATAAAAAACTGAATTCCCTCGTCGGTTGTCTTCGTTCTTCAGCTTAGAACTAATATTATCTTAATATTCTAATTAATACGAATTAATGCTAGTAATACGAAATAACAAATTTAACGCAACGTAGTCGCTAATACTCAAACGAAAGAGATAGACGGAATGGATAAAGTTACATCGATCATTTCGTTTACGCACCTAATATACCAAGCAGTTATTAATTCTACGATGAACTACGTTAAACTACAGTATGAACAAGTATCGTGATGCAAGTGTTGTCGCCAGAGCCTGATTTAAGAAAATGGGAAAGAAAGGCGACACCTCGCGAACCCGGATCCATCTTTTACTGCCATGGAGCTTTGGGCTGGTCATCTACGTACCAGACCCGAACCAAAGGAGTACACAAGCATGGTAGTGCAAGCGAGATTCTCTGTTTACGGAGCAGGCTCCTACCTACCTCCGTACCCTTGCACGCACGAATCTTTCTCCAAATCCTACTTACCAGGCAAAGACTAAACACGTCCGATATCTGGCTTCTCAATAGAAACCAGAGGGATCGGCAAACAGTTTTAGTGTACAGACCCACTGCCCGTACCCTAGGTACAAACCCACTGCCCGTACCCCAAGTCTGTGTAGAGAATTAACGAGAAAAATGAATTAATAATAACTTGGTATGCACAATGGATGGTCACAATTTAAGTCTATTAATAGATAGACTAAAATTAATAATAATAATTATCATTACGATGTGATGATGTATATGAATATAACAATGAATATCGAATTATGATTTAAGTTTAACTTACAGTAACTTAACGCAGTGGTAGACGCATTGAGGATGTAGACGTTGATCGATGTTTTCTTTCGATGGAACAACTGTTTGGAAAAATATTTTTCATTGTACAATACACATAGAATACATAATATGTACATAAGAAGATAAATATCGAACATCTGTAACATACAAGAGATTAGTAACAAGAGAGGGAACACAACAATATGCACATTAAATAGATTAATAATATGCACAGTTAATAGATTAATAATATGCACAGTAAATAGATTAATAATATGCACAGTAAATAACAGGTTCCTTTATACGGTATATAACAACCTTTACTTTCGAATTGCAAACTTTAACTTGACTATACGTGGTAAAGACTGATGCTATTTCACGATATACGACGAAAGTAAAGGTTGATTTATTATAAAATTCGAACTCCTTCCACTACTATCTATTTCATCTTCGTCGGCTGTGAAATATTCTTCATCATCTGAATTATATAATAAATCAACCTTTACTTTCGAATTGCAAACTTTAACTTGACTATACGTGGTAAAGACATGCTATTTCACGATTCAAATGAATGTCTTCATTCCCTTCAGAATCCACAACTGATGAGTCATTGCCGTCAACGACCACCTTTTGAGGACGCTTCAAACGAAGACAAGAAGATGAGGGTGAGGATGATGACGATTGTACTAATTCAGAGGAAATATTCAATTTTGAACTGGAGTCAATTGGATTCCTGGATAAAGCGTCAGCGTTAGAATTAATTTTACCTGGTTTATAAACAATATCATAATCATATTCATTGAGTCTGATGCGCCATCTCATAATTTTTGATGTTGGATCTTTAGTGCTGTGTAACCACACAAGAGGACGATGATCCGTTACCAAAGTAAAATGTTGTCCATATAAATATGGTCGAAAATGTTCCACTGCAAAGAGAATTGCCAACATCTCCTTCTCTATAGTAGAATAATGAATTTCAGATTGACTGAGAGTTCGAGATGCATAGGATACAGGGAGATCACTACCAATAAGACCTTGACTCAAAACGGCTCCAAGGGCAAAATTGGAGGCATCAGTAGTCACCAAAAAAGGTTGTGAAAAATTAGGGAATTGAAGCAATGGTTCAGAGGATATGATATCACGCAATGTCTCAAAAGCAACGTGTTCTTTTTCACTCCAAATAAAAGGTGCATCCTTTTTTAAAAGATGAGTAAGTGATTTAGCAATCTTGGCCATATCTGGAATGAAACGTCTGTAATAACCGACCAGACCTAAAAATTGCTTTACATTCTTTTTTGTTTTAGGAATTGGAAACTGTTTAACTACTCTAACCTTTTCCGGATCTGGCTTGACTCCATTGATCGAAATACAATGCCCTAGATATATTATTTCTTTACGGAGAAAATGACATTTGCCTGGTTGCAAAGTAAGTCCAGCATTTTGTAATCGAGAAAACAGAGTTGTTAATTTCCGTGAATGGTCATTTAAAGAGTCAGCATAAATAACTATATCATCCATATAGACAAAAAGATCAACTCCTTGAAGTCCAGACAATACTAAATCCATACATCGCTGAAAAGTCGCGGGAGCATTTTTCAAACCAAAAGGCATTCGGTTAAATTCAAAATGACCATGAGGTGTAGAAAAAGCAGTTTTTACCTTTGAATTTTTATCTACAGGAATTTGATGAAATCCTGACGCTAAATCAAGTGTGCTAAAATATTGTGAGCCTCCTAACTGATCTAATATATCCATTATATTTGGAAGAGGGTAAGCATCATTAACAGTTTTTTCATTTAATTTTCTATAATCAATTACCATTCTCCAACGTTTTTCTCCAGAGGCATCAGATTTTTTCGGAACTATCCAAACTGGAGAATTGTATGGGGAATCGGATTCTTGTATAATTTTATTTTCAAGAAGAGAATTGACCTGTTTTTGAATTTCGGCTTTATGAATTTGAGGAAACCTATATTGCTTAGTCTTAATCGGAATTTCATCTGTTGTATTTATAGTGTGAGAAACTGAACGAATAGAACCTAATTTATCAGTTGATAAATGAAATTGAAACGGAAATTTATTTAATATTTCTAAAATACTAGCTTTTTCAATATCATTCAAATGATTTAGATCAAGAGCTTTAATTAATTCGGAAAGTCTAGAAGCATCTGCCTGAGCATTTCCCAAATTAGGATTTCCAGTTCGTGCTGAACGGGGTGCTGGATTTTTAATTTCAAAATCCTCTAATTCAACCTCAGGAATTGTAAGAGGTACAGATTCTTCGATTGTATTTATAACATACATTTTAGCAAAACCATTCTTTTGAGTAACTAAAACTTCACCGAGATAAACTCCAGGTGGAGTGTCTAATTTCTTAATATATCCACTTTTAAGAGAAGACTCTTTAATTGGGACAGTTACTAGAACTTTGGACCTTGGTGGTACAATAACAGAAGAAGTTCGTTCAAGTGGAATTTCAACATCTCCAATTTTGAAAATATTAGGTAAGTTCCTTCGAAATTTAACAGTTACATTTTGTGCTTCTAGAAATGGTATACCTAATATTCCGGTTTGTTTTATAGGAAAACTATCACTTATAATTTGGAATTTATTATTTACATTCTGAATAGGAATGATAACCTCTCCCTGAGTTGGCACGGATCCAATTTCAATTCCACTAAGATCACAGAAGATACTATTGTCTATAAGAATATGCTTTAGAACTCCTTCTCTTTTAATAAGATTCACTTGACAACCAGAATCGACAAGGAAGGTAGCAGACCCATTGCAGAAAACTTGATGAGGTAATGTCAGTATGGGTAGTCGACCAATTCTTTCCGTATTTAATTTAAGACAGACTGATGAGATTTGGCGCGAGCAATTAGGGGTTCGGATCGCATCACGCCGTTTTGCGATCCGGTTTTGAAGTTTAAAGGATTTTCTTTTTGATCTTGTGAGAAATTTTTATAAGGATGATTCCTATTAATTTTCCTAAAACATTGAGTTTCAGTGTGTCCTAATTTTTTACAAAATGTGCATTGAACTTTCTTTGAATAAAGAGATTTTTCATTATTTTGTGGGCAATTTCTTTTAATATGACCCGGTTCCTTGCAAAGAAAACAAATTATTCCTGATGCTCCAGTGATATATACTCTACTTTTAATTGGAGAATTCCGTAACGATTTATTTACATTACCTCTACTCATTTCTTTGTCTAAATCATATGCCTGATTAATCAAATCACGAAGGTTTGTGTGTGATTTAGACAATAATACAGCTCTAACCAATTGATTTCCTAATCCTCGTAAGAATGCACTATTTGCATCACGTCTAATCATATTAATTATGCCTTTCAACTCTTCACCTTCATATTTCTGATTGGCTCCCTCTAATCCTTCGGATAATACATTTTCAATTTTATTTCCAAACATTTCAACCGTCTCACCATTCTCTTGGACTAACATTTGCATTTTAGTTCTTATTTCTTCGACATCAAAATTTCGTGCATAAATTTGTTTAAGTGTTCCTAATAATTCGCTTATACTATTTGGTTTTGGCATGTGTAACAAATAATTTGCAGCTTGTCCAATTATTTTATCCTCAATTAATGTAAAAAGTTGTCCTTGTTCAGATGGCTTAACTAATGGACAATAAGTTTCACAACGTTCAATAAATTTAGAAAGATTACGACTTGTACCATCAAAATTTGGAATGTATCTATCTATACTTTTTAAAGCCAAATATGTTTCATTTTCAGATGAAATAGTATTTCCTGTATTATTACTCAACGGAATATTATTACTATTATAAGAAATATTCGGTGTACTGGCTTGAACTGGAATCATACTAAGAGACTGAGTTTGTATCAAGCCTACTTGAGTCTGAGGAGCTAGAGGTACTTGAGTCTGAGGAGCTGGAGGTACCAATACATCCTCTACTTCAAAAGGTGAAATGCTAAATTTTAAATCACGATTCTTCTTGTACCTCTTAAAACCTACTCTGTATGGCGGCATTTTGTTACACAAGCTAACTATTTAATTACAAAGCTACGACTCGACAATAACGCAATTAACAATAAGAACAAAAGGAAATATTCAATTTAAGCTGAAGGTACTTATTTATATATTAACTATTTCAGAGTAGTCCAGTTGATTCCAATCCTTGAGATGTGGATTTCCTCAGTTCTGGATACCAGGTCGCAGCAGTCCTTCCTCGATGATTCTGATGAAATCCAACGACAGCAGTGATGGACAGGATACGTAATGAACAGGATACGTGATGAACAGGGTACGTGATGAACAGGATACGTGGTGACAGGCGTGTGCATGTGGTAAAACAGGGATATCTGCACGGCCTCTGTTTCCACTCTCTCCGGTATTCACCCTTGCTCTCAGGGAAACCGTGCGAAAACCCAAGAGGAAGAGATTGCAGCTACACTTATCACAAGCCGGCCAGAAGGGATAATTTCTTCTTGTCGTTGTTGCTGGTGGTCCAATCCAATGACTTCCAAATCCAATGAATTTTAAGGAATCCCACTGATTTTAAGGGATCCCACCGCTGTCACCAATTTGTTGCGTGGCCGTTTTATAAAGATTTGTAATTGAGAATTTAGGCAGGGTTCGGGTCCCCGTGGAGCGCTGATACGCTCTTCTCGAGTTGACTTCAATAAATACTCGATAAATGAAATAAAACTCAGGAACTTGTATTTGAACTTGTTAACAAAATTATGAAATGAACAATAAACTTGAATTAACAATAAATTAAAGTTATTTGTGCTTTTCTGCTATTTAGAAAAGTACGTCCGAACAGTTTGAGTACTCGATTAAGAAGCAGTCAAAATGGCAATAAAATCCTCGTTGAACAAAAAGAACGTGTACCTTCAGCTTTTAACAAAATACAATTATTTAACATCCAATTAGGAATTAATAAATAGTTTTACTTTAATCTTATTGGGTCTAATCATTACGGGGAACGAGCGTTTTTAATACCTTGGCAATGTTTCCTCATGACAACCAAAAGTAAATATCAAATACGAGTAATTTCTAGTCATCAATGTTATCATTTTGACATTTAATCAATAATTAGTTATTTAATACCCTGATTCATTGCCTCAGTTACGCTGTTGTACAATTCATATTTGCCGCGCCTAATTTGAATCTGCGCCTACAGATGACAGTGTAGTTACATGTACTTATTCCTAAAATTCTGAACAGATGGCGCTTGATTCTAAATATTACCAGTTGCGAATACGCAACAGGTTCAAAAATTTTAGGTGAAAAAAATGAAGAATTCTAAAACAAACAATCGCATTACGTAATTACATAAGGGTCATTCCATGGAAAATCGATCAAAATTGGGTCTTTTTGAACATGACCATCACCAATTTTGTTCATTTATTGTAGAAACTTGATACCTATGAGAAAACCATTTTGGTAAAACTAAAATGTCCTGCAGGGCATTTTGCCTGAATTACAGTAGTTTGAAAATCATAACAATGGTCCATTTTCGCCTAGCATAAGTATATTCTAAAAATCATAATTTTGGTTCTAATCGGTCGATGGGGATAATTCTTTTTCGTTAGGTAGGGAAAAGTACACATTTTCAGACAAAAATACAGCATCTTTTTTCCGGAACAAATAAATTTCAAGGAAAATGAAAACGTACTTTATCTTTAAATATCTCAAAACCCGCGTCTTCGATTTTTTTTTATTTTTACTGTTACGAGCCCGGGCCGTAGCAACTCGAGAGGCCGGCGAGTGTAGATTTTCCAAGGAATATGGTAGGGTAGACTGAGGCGAATTGGATCCCAATAAGAATTCAGTCCATATTTTTTATATTTTCATGGTAACGAACATTTCGATTGTTCATATTGCGTCATACTTGCCCCCCACACCCAACCCAATAACCCATCAATTGTTTTACTTACTTGTTTAGTGCTGGCATGTTGCTATTGAGACGAACGCGTGCGAACGTTATAATTTTGGTGCGAATCTAAGATACGTAATCTGCAATTTCGTATTTAAAATAAAGAAGTAAGCTTGAAAATTCAAATGTGTTTATTATTATTAGTTTGTATGGTGTCCAAATTTGGTATTTTATATACTTTAGATTATTATATCATAATTCGTCTATTTATCCTATTCCATTTAAAGTTTTTATGTATGGAACTAATCGGATCACGTCATTTGGGGTGAATCGGGTCACTCTTCTTCTTCGTTTGAATATTTTTATGATTATAAATGTAATAATTGTTTATATACAGATAGTTCGTAAGTACATTAAAAAGACCAATCAAGGTTCATGGTGTCTAGAAAAAATGGTGTCACGAGAATTGTGCTGATAGAGGTGTTGTTAATGGACACTATATTTTCGTCCTATGTGCCAAGTTGGGTCAATTAACCCCATTATCATTCAATTATATTTTTTTAAATTAATTTAGACATTTTTTATGAAAAGATGAGTTTTTTCAGACTTCAACTTGAGGGGCGAATCGGATATTTCTCACTTTTTCGTTTTTCGTTTGCAAAAGAAAGATTTTTAAGTTTTTCTTATTTTTTTATTATTAATGTTCAAGTTAAATGCGTACTAATTACGAATTTGTAATATGTGAACTAACGAAAACGCCCTAAAACTCCGTCTATTTATTCCTCAAGTAATAGGGGAGCGTAATCTCGACCAACTGGATAGCAACCTAGAGACAGTGTAACCTTTCTTTATATGTTTATATATATATATATATATATATATATATATATATATATATATATATAACAAAAAACG